AGGGAGCTAAGACTACTACATCTTGATCGGGTCTGTAACTTGGCATAACTTGAGCGTATATGACCTCAAAGCCCATCCCCACAGTGGCACACTCCCTCTAGCAAGGCACACCTACTCCAATAAGGCCACACCTCCTAATAGTGCCACTCCTTATGCTCTAGCATTCAAACACATGAGTCTATGAGGGCCATACCTATTCAACCCACCGCAGCCATTGTGATGTGAATCCATCAAATGATTAATCTATTGCCCCCATGATGGAATTGTCTCGATTATGCTATCACAGACACAGCCTGAGTGCCCAGAAAGGCACTCCTGGATACAGTCATGTTAATGGTCAAGGCTGAGAGCATAGCAGTACCCAGTGGGTGGTACCAGTAACTGGGCTTCTCTTTTTGCTCAAAGCACCCCTTTCAGAGTGCTGCAATTTGGAGAGACAATAGCTGTTTAGTTGGCTCAAGAAGACATTTTCAGGACCAGTGAGACGGCTCAGTAGGTAAAATCCTGGGGATCTGAGTTCAGCCCCTAGTACCCCCATAAAGGTAAAAGGAGTGAATTGACTCTGCAAAGCTATCCTCTGGTTCTCATATGTGCCTCCCCAGATACACACGAGAGAGACAGAGACAGGGAGAAACAGGCAGACAGAAAGAGACAGAGAGACAGAAACAGACAGAAACAGAGAAACAGACAGACAGACAGATTTTGGGACTGGGGAGATGGCTTAGCAGTTAAGAGCACTTGTTCCTCTTGCAGAAGACCAAGGTTCTATTCCCAGCACCCAAGTGATGGCTCAGAACCATCCGTAACACCTGTTCCAAGGTATCTGATGTCCTCTTCTGACCTCCACAGACACCAGGTACATATGTGGTACTCAGATATACATGCAGGCAAAACATCCACATACATAAAATAAACATTTTCCCAGGTTCCAGTGTGAGGACAATGGGTCCAATGTACCCAGTTGTTCAGGGTGACAGCCCTGAGCAGCACAGCTACTTCTGTGACCAACATCTTCTTCAAGGGACACTCTGGTCAGCAATATTCCCACTTTATCATGACTAATGCTGAAAGCCATGTGACAAGCACATTCCCTACTTGCCTCCACTCTTCAGAATGTATCCTAAGGGATTGTAAGGAAAACTCACAGGGAGACCTAGAGTAATAATCTGGGAAAGGAAAAATAAGAAACAAATAAGAGCAGCTAATGTGAATTATTATAAATTTATGTGGTAGAATGATATCATTATATAATGGGGAGAGCAAATTGAGGTAAAAATGAAATTCAAGTGACAGAACATTTCCGATTTTTCAACTGTTATGCAAACACTTCAAAGTATACTGTGGTATAATGAAATGTGTAAAATTGCATTTTCTCTAATTGAAGTGGTAGAATGGGGGGATCTAATCATCATGAGACTCTGCAAACAGGGCCCTCTCTTCTCTCCCTCCCCATTGCCAGGACCCATGCTGCAAGGGACCCTGAGGCTTGGAGAGGAATTTCTAACAATATAAGAAAATTATGACATAATGTTATGTGTTAAAAATCAGAATAAAACTGGCACATTTAGTATGCCTTATTTTTATAAAATGCCACCAAACTGACAGAACCACAGAGAAAATTCTGGAAAAGACACATTAAGATATTGATGATTGTCTCTTTAGAATATTAGATTTTTATTAGATTTTTCTTTTGTGTGTGTTCCAGAACTACTTTTCTTTTTTGAGACAGTGTTCCCTTTATCTTAGGTTGGCGTCAAATTCACTGTATAGTCAGGCTCCTCTGTCCCCACATTCTAGGCTTGGGATTATAGGCATGCACCATCAGGTCCAGTTTATACTGTGTCGGTATTGAATCCAGGATGCTGAATGCTAGGCAAATACTTTGCCAACTGAGCTACAACCCTAGTGAATTAGGGTTTTTTTTTTTTTCCTGTTCAGGGGAGTCAAGTCCAGGTCAAGTCCAGGGTCTCATGGATAGAAGGCATACACTCTATCAACTGAGCTACATGCCATCCCCTTCCCAAATTATCTCCCTTCTTTTTAACATAAGCAAATGCTCATTTAGCTCATGGTTTTGGAAATAAAAGGTTCAAACAGCACAGCACAGTTAGAGCCAAGGCCCATCTTAAAGGAAGCATGTTGTGGCTAGGTGCAGTGGGTATTTCTGGTATCTCCTTTAATGAACACATACCACAGCAATGGTGGGGGAAAATAAAAGGGGCTGTCTTTTTTTTTCTCTCCTAATATTTACTCCAACATTCAGTTAGTATCAGGAGCTCAGAGACTTGTCCTCCTGTTATTGATTCTCTTATGAATAAAACGTAATAGGTACATCACAAAGCCATGACCGGGACCACATCGTGTCCATTGCTACTGGTACAGAAGCAGGCTCTGGTCTACTGTTGTGAGCAGCAGTTGTATTTCTCTTCCTGCTGTATTTCTTTACCTGTGCTCTTCCCCTTTCTTGAGCTGATAACCATGTCACTGTGTGAGAAGGGAAGAAAAGCGTCCTGGGACAGCTGTCACCATTCTATTTCTTGGAGTCCTTGCTGCAAAGTGTTACTAAGCTATACTGTTGCTTTGCCTGCCTTTTCTGTACCTGTCGTTTTTGTTTTGTTTTGTTTTTAGTTTTAAACTGTGAAACATAAAAAGAAATCAAGGATGTGGCTGAAGCTTACACAAAGATTTTCATACAATCCCCTCTTTAGTTGCATCCTCACCGTTTTCTGAAATCCTTTGAATGACAGGTCTGCCTCATTCCCACTCCCCCAGGTGACCATCGTTACTCCTCCTCTTTCTGTCACTATAGATAGACAGGAACCCCCTTCCATAGCTTCCATACCCACATTCGGCCAAGCACAGACAGAAAATGTTTGGGTGAAAAATTGCCTCTGAACTGTACACATTCAAACTTTCCTTCTTGACATCATTCCCTCAGCCATATGGAACAGTGATTCATAATGCATCCACAATGCAGTAGGTATCAGAAATAATGCAGAGAAGGTTCAAGAGGGTGTGCACCACCTACATGCAAATGCCCTTCCATTTTGCATAAGGGACGAGAGCATCCTCAGGTTTGGGAATCCACAGGGGGTAGTGCCTTGGAACCAGTTCTCCAAGAATACAGATGGATGACTCTATTATGAGTTGGGATTAGAACTTCATCCTAGTTTTATTGAAAATGGTGTCAGAGCTTTTGTTTTTTATTCCCTTTGCTTTGGGGGCTGATTCTGAGAGGAAAGGGGAAGAATTATATTCACATAACATGTTAAAATCCTTAGATCTCTGTCTTGGATTTTAGTATAATCATTGTAAGATTTTTTTTTTGATTCCCATAGCCTCTAAATTTTCTGAGATAGATATTATGGCTTTAAGACAGTGGGGCTTTCCTACAGAGTGGAACATAAAAGGGCCCACAAAGGCTGAAGCACCTGCTCCTGCCTCTTCCTCCCTCTTACTGAGCCTGCTGGGTGTAGAGAACCTGCTTTTCTTTGACACTTCAGTCTCCTGACATCTGTCAGAGAACACCTCCTTGTCAGGGCACACGAGAGAGTGACTTTGGAGTCCTTTGCTCTGAGCTGGGGGTATTTGTTAAACAGACTTTGCCAACCATGCCTGTTCCTCTGCATGCATGCAGCGTGTGGTACTTTCCATACACTCTGAGAACCATATGGAGATCCAAAAGCCACAAATGCTCTAAGGAACACTGCCATTTGTGCTGTCTCATGTGACTACCAGGGTGGCCCCGCCTCTCCAGTCACTTTCAAGCTTCAGGAATTTTCTTCCTCTGTTCCCCAAGACCCTCCACCCCTCTCTCACAGAGCGTCCAGGCTTCCGAGCCTATCTACCTCCCATTTTCCTGAGGCTCTTATGAGAATTGATCTATCCAATTAAGGCAGGAAATTGTTCTCTAAATTTAACACGTCCATCAATCGCATCCACAATGGCCACATTGATTTGTAAGGCTGAAGCTCAGAGGTGATTTTTATTTAATTCAGCACAAACTCCATCAGGCTTCCCCCTTCACAGGCATCATTTCTCAATTTGGTTTTGTTAAATCAGCTTCAAACATATCCCATGAATCATCATCATCAGTGGCCTGCTGGATTCCCTGTCTCCACGCAGGAGCTGCTCAGGGCATGCCCACACCACTCTGTGCTGTTGCCTTTGCTGAACCTAGTATCCTCACTGGTGAATTCTGTTTACACCCAACTTCTTTTCTGAAAGAAGACTATGTGTGTGCACATCAACCCACACACAGGAAGATGGCCTCTATTAAAGTCAAACCCCACTCTGGTCGCTTCCTCCATCTTGAGGAACCATCTGTTACCTCGAGTATTGCCTTCATGAACTACATCATGCCAAGAGGGCCCACACACATATGCACAAAGACAGTTCCATTTGGAGACTGGATAGCATCTTTAATTAATAATGCCACAGCGTAACATCCTTTTCGTGGCTGTAGCAGATGGTGTGTGTGTGTGTGTGTGTGTGTGTGTGTGTGTTCCTGAATACATGAGGGGCCAGCAGAGACTCCCAAGCAGTTCTCAGCCAACAACTCTTGAGCAGCAACAGTCTCCATTAGGCATGGAGGCCAGACTCTGCCTCTTGTGGTCTTGAGTTTTCCTTCCTTCTAGGCCACCTTGTGTGCATTCTGAAGGCAAGACTAAGGCCTGTACCAAGTTAGATTAAAGGGATTACAGCATAGTCCAGCCTCCATGCCTCAGTCCTCATTGCCCCTAACCAGAGGGATGCCTCTGGTTAAGGTACAGACTGTCTGACAGAGGTGGTCAACTGAGGCCAGCACTGGTCCCCTGTGACACTTTGAGAGCAGCATCAGAGTGGTCCAACCCTGGGCTGAGTTCTGAAGCTGCTGGGACATTTGATGAATTCCTTTCATTGACAAGCTGGATGCAGCTCAGGCATTTTGGAGGGCCATTCAAAAGGGGCAGACTTGATGTGGCCATTGGAAGTCATTTCCAACCCAAACCTAAGAGCCCACTCCCCTGTCGTCTCTATTCTCCAATTCCCTCACGCGCCCAGTAGGTCCACAGCTCAGACATGGCAGGGGAAAGTGATGGTGGGTCACAGGAGACCATGAAACCTGGGCTGAACTGGATCCGCAGCCACGTGCCAGCCTGAAGCCAGCCCTCTCTCCCATGGTCAATGACAGGTAGAGCTTTCTGAAGCCAGATGCCACCCCCACAGGCCAGGCAAGCAAGTTCTCAGCCCAGTACAGAGGGAACACCAAAATGGCTCTACTGTCCCATCCCACTGTTCTGCGCCTTGGGAAGGCAAGGAGCCCAAGCCCAGGAGGGGGGGATCAGCTGTTGGGGAAACAGCGCTGTCCAGGTGAGGCTTCGGGCCGGAAGCTGGGCTTGTTCAGTGGGCTGGGGTAGTAGGTGGTTGTGTACACATTGGTCTGCTGCAGTGGGTAGAAATTGGCTCTGTCATCGGGGATCAAGTTATTCTTGTTCAGTGTCTAGGGGGAGGAGAAGGAATCAGAGGAAGGAGAGATGAGGAAAGGGCCTGCCCGGGGCAAGGAGTCCCCGAAGCCAGCCGTTAAGGGGCAAGTGTGATTATGGACACAGAGCTCCTTCGTGTGACCCCTGCTCCCCCACCCAGTGATGCCAGGACCACAGTGCCTTTCACCCTGCTCTGCTCCACACAGAGGTCCCACCTTGAATTCCATGGGGGTGTACTTCTCATTCTTGGGGGTGCCCCCACTCTTGTAGTGCAAGTGGTTAGGGGTGGCAGGATGGACAAGCGTGGACTCCTGAGATTGGCGCTGGCAGTGTTGGCAGGACAGGTACACTGCCAAGGTCAAGAGCCCAGAGCCCAGGAAGCAGGACACGCCAGTGGCTACCAGGTGGATAACACTGAACCCTGAAGGGAGAGAGGCGGGCGGTAAGGGAAGGGCCACTGTGAAGGAGGAGATTGCTATTGTCCTCCCAGGAGCAGACACAGGGTCCAAAGATGCCAGGCCGTGGAGAAAGGAAAGAAAGGAAAGGGCTTTGGGGCCGGAACCGAAGAGAGAGGTTGGGGAACCTGGCACCTTATCTCCCAGCACAGCCTGTAGGTGGAGGCAGAAGGATCTGGATGCAGGCTGATGATGGCCTCCTAGCTGGGAGGCCTAGGAGGGAACCGTGCAGACCTCCCTGTACGCAACCTCGAAGCCAGGTGGGGACCCCATACACACAAACCCAGGCTTGGCTGTCTGCAGCAGAACTGGGAAGAATGCAGACTGGGGTGGCGGATGAGGGACCGTGACATGAGTGACTCTACCTCCACAGCTGGTGGTGTCCTCCACACTGGACGCAGACAGGATGACTGCAGGGAGACAAACGGTCAAGGGTGGAATAAATACAATGAAGAGCCCCAAGCATTGCTAACGCTTCATTCTGTATTCCAATCTCCGCCTCAGGGTTCAATTTCAGAAGGGAAGGGCACAGGGAGAATGGGAGTATGTGTGATGGGGAGGAAGGGGAGATGGTGTGAAAGTACTAGCAAAAGGACCCACCAGGAATCTCACTGTAGGGACAGGGCCGGCTCTGGCTGCTGTTGCCAGCACAGGCACCTGGCCCTGGGACAAGCTCCTCACAGCTCCGGCTCCTGCTCTGGGCCCCATCCTCAGTGCAGACACCCCACTCAGACCACAGTGACCAGCCTTCTGTGGATTGTGGGTTGGGAGGAGGTTGAATGCCTCAGGATTTCCCTGTTGAGGGTTAGCAGCTCCCAAACATTCCCCCAGCCCCGGTCAGATGCATCCAGTACCTGGGCAGGCCTGCGTAGCACATAGTGCCTCCTCTGTGTGCAGCCCGAGGCAGATGTCCTCACCTGGGGACGGTGCAGGGCTGGTGCAGGAACGGGTGCGTTGATAGTGGCCACCACCGCAGGATACTGAGCACTGGGACCACGCGGTCCAGCAGGACCAGGCACCCCGCACTGTAAGTGTGGGTTCGGTGTGAGAGAGGCTGCCCTAGGTCTCATTCCCTCAACTCAGCATCCACCCCACCCCAATCAACACCCCTAAACCCCATATTAGTTTCATCTCAAATCAAGTTCCCTATTCAGCTAGCTCGGTAGAGGAAAGCAAAAGCAAGGCAGTAATGAAAATAGAAAGACCTCACTCCTGTTCTACTCCAGAAGCCACGGAGTCCATGGAGAAGCTAAAGTTTCCTTCCACAACCTGACCTGGGCAAGCCTGCGGGTTGCAGTCTTGGTACTCCGCGGCATCTCCCACGCAGGGCAGGCCCCCGTTGCGGGGCTCCGGGTTGGTACACGTTCTCTTGCGGACGCGGAATCCCAGCTCGCAGTCCCGGGAGCAAGATGACCACGAGCCCCAGGCGGCCCAGCCACCGCTCAGAGAGTGCGGGGACATGCTCCCACTGCGCAGGAGATCCTCTACCAGGGCTGCAGAGGGCCAGCGGGCTCAGCGACCCCAGTGCTGGGCGCCGCGCTCCTCCCCCAGGCCTCCCGGGCTCCCCACCGCTCTAGGCCGTACCGTCGGTGTCGCAGGCTCCGGTGCCGTCGGCGGGGCAGGTCCTGGTCTCCATCCTCCTCTTGCCGAACTGCAGGCCATGTGGGTCGGGCAGCGGGGCGCGGCATGTGAAGCGGAAGCGCTGCTCCTGGCGCGCGCCACCCTGGGTTACGTTCACCGGCAGCCAGGGCGTCCAGGGTGTGTTGCGACGCACTTCCGGGCAAGCCTCGGGGTTGCATGTCTTGAACTCCTTTGGGGGGGGGGGGAGGGTGGTTTCAGAGCCTGCAGGCTTCCCTGCACACCGCGCCCCCGGTCCCACGCCACGTGCTCTCACCACGCCGCAGCCCGGGCAGGAGTTGCCATTCTCGCAGACCCGACGGCGCGACTGCACACCGCCTCCACAGTTGATGCTGCACTTGCTCCAGGAGCCCCAGGAAGCCCAGAAGATGGGCACCGGGCAAGGTGTGTTTTCATTACAGAACCTGAGGAGAAAGGAGGCGTGTCACCCTAGGGAGAGGTACTGTCATTCCGGCTCCAAATTCCAGGCTGGAGAAGGCTCGGATCCCCGCCTCCCTGCAGCCTCAGCTAGCTCACCGCTCGTCCCGGCTCTTGCCCACGCAGATGCGGCCCCCGTGGCGGGGCGCAGGGTTGCTGCAACTTCGCTGACGGACCTGGAAGCCAATCCCACAGGACGTGCTGCACTGTGCCCACGATGACCATGTGGTCCACGCCCCATTCCTGGTGGAGTGGGAGGGGACAGAGATACATGCCCCTCTGAGCCCTAGCTTCATAGATCTGGGCTGCATCTGGGGCAGATGGATTTTTGTATTGTTGTCAGGACTGGCGAGACAGTGACACAGAAAATATCAGCTCCTAACCAGGCTGGCTCAGGCAGATTCGTGCATTCATCCGTTTGCTCATTCATGCCTCAAATATGTATTGAGAGCCTTCTTCCATATATCAGGCTGTGCTCAGGGCCAAGGACACAGTGATAGGGCCGGGCCCCTACACAGACAGGCAAAAGGACACACTCTTTAGAGGTCTCAGTTACCATTGCATCCTGAAACCTTCCTTTCCCCCTTCTCAGATACCCAAGCCTCCTCTTAGACCTCACTCTCCCACCTCTCCCCTCCATTAGCTTTCCCCAGCTTCCTTCAGACATCCACGCCCAAGTAAGTTGACCTCAGTGGTCAAAGTTGGACTCTCCTGTTTACTGGTACCCTTATTACCCTTAAAATAAGACTAATGGTTGAATTCTGACCCCTTTGAGGTTGCTGTCAGGGTTAAATTAATGAAGGCAGATAAAAATATTTATTTTAAGAGTCTCTAAAGCTATGGATTAGTTGTGATAATAACCATTTTTTGCAGTTCCCAAGCACCTGGCAGTTTAGTTCCCAACATACATTATGCCTTTTAACCTCTCAGCAACTCTCAGATGGGTATTGCATTCCCTGTTTTAAGAAGAGTGCCTAGTGGTCTGTTCAAAGTCATGCCTCTAGATGGCAAAGCCTGGGATCATCACCATCGCCTGCTGTCCTCAAGTTTGGAACAGCAGAGCAAGCTTCTGGCAGTGACTCCCATGCCTGTTCAGTCTTTCTCTTTGCAATCCTGCCATGAGGCAGAGATTATTCTCCATTGATGTGAAAACTCCCCTAGTGCTTCTATTTCCCGCCTCAGACAGCAGCTTCCTGTCCAGTCCCCAGTTCTCTGAAGCGTAAACACCTGGGTGAGATGCCCCATTCCCCCAGTTCTCTCCAGATGAGTCCTAAGCAGACACTATACAAATCCTGTCCTCACCTACCTGGAGCAATTGGCGATATGGATGGCTGGCCCCAGGCATTCCAGGCCCCCACAGCGGGGCTTTGGGGAGTCACAGGATCTGGCCCGGCACAGGCAAGAACCCGAGTTGTCTCCATCTACGTGCTCACACGGTTTCCATGGTGACCATGGGCCAAAGCCCCCATCCCGTGTCACATTCCGTACCTGCAGACTCATATAAGGGGCAAGACTCCTGTCACACAAGTCAAAGGCAGGGGAGGGATGACATCCCAGGGCACATGGGGTATATATACTGATGGGGAGTCATAGCTGGCATTGAGGGGAAGGGGAGGGCACAGGGCTCTCACAGGACAGGCTGTGATGTTCTGGGTCCACAGGCTCATGTTGGAGCTGTCCTCAAGTGTGCTGCAATGCTGCCGCTTCCCGTCCCAGCCGCAGTATGGGTCCCGTGCTCCCAGGCATGCCCTGCCAGATGGAAGTCCTGAGACTCAAGCTCACTGGCTTCCAGGTCTCAGTTTTTTCCCTAGAAAGCACCTGCCAACTCCACTTTCTATCCTGCTTTCCTCCTCGGAAAAGATTAAGTTCAAAGTTGGGGGTTCAGCTCAGCAGTGGAGTGCATGCTTAGCAAGTACAAGGCCCTGGGTTCCATCCCCAGCATCAGAAAGACGAAAAAGAAAACACCAAGTTCACTGCACCCTTGCTGTGTGACTGGCGTCCTTTAAAAAAACTTCTGGAGGCTTGAATGAATTCAATGCGATAACCCGGTGAGGTAGGGCTGTTTCTGTTCCATGAAGTAGGAGGAAACCCATTCAGCCCAGCAAGGACTCAGTCTTAGCCAGTCTTAGCCAGACTGGGTTGTTCCCTTGAGCTGAAGGGAATACTGGAGGAGATGTGGTTTGCAGAAATGCAAAGAGAAGGCCTTTCCTGGTCAGACCCACAGAGCATAAGGTTGTTCTTAAGCCTGGCTCATATGAAAATCCCTGAGGAGCTTGGAGGGACACTGGTACCCAAGTCCTCCTGAACAGGAGTCTCTGGAGTAGGGTGGTTGTTAAAAGTATAGGACAATGCTAAAGGAAACCCTTTTGTGAATCACCAGGATGGCTAACCATCTTTGCATGGAGTGGAGGAGAGGGGAGGAGAAGGTTTTTCAGCCATCACACAAACTGTGTCTTGTGGAAGTGGTCCCAGACCTAGGGTTCCCAGCTGTCGTTCCCCCTCTTTTCCACCCTCCATTCCACTTCACACCCTGACTGGTGTGTGGATCCACGTCTCAAAACACAGGATGCTCAGTCCAGTCCAGGGTCACAGGTGTTTCCCCATGAGTGAGCTGTTTCGGGGCAGAGGGGCAGGGGCTAACACTTTAGCATCAGGAGAATGAGCCAAGCTGCTAGGATGGGATGCTACCCCATCATTCTCTGGTCACAAAGCTGGCCTTTCTACAATGTTCCAGAAAAGAGAGTGGTTCACACCCCAGTGCATGCCCCAGATGCCTCTGCTTACACTCCAGGGTTCCCTTCTTCCCTTTCCTCTGATTCATTCAGGTAATATGACCCTTATATTTTGGTAGGTAAGAAAGTTAAATCTCTGCTAGGAGGATTTAAAGGAGGAGGAAAAGAGTCTGTGGGGATCATGGAGTAAAGATTGTGGAGTAAAGTTAGCTGTTCACTGCTAACTAAAAAGGGTACCAACTCCTGGAGGCAGAGGAAGGGGGGCCCTCCAGCCCCACAGTGAACTCACTGTCACCCGAGGGCAGTTGATACCTTTTGCTTGTTTTTCAAGCTTTCACCCTGCTCTGATGAGGTCTGCTGGGGAAAGTTGAGAGAGCCCAAAAGCAGGGGCTCCAAAAATGGAGGTGAGGAACAAGAGAGGCCTTGGGAAGGGACAAGGACAGTAAGAAGGTAGACAGATGAGTTCACAGCATCACAGAAACTTATAAAAGGATTTTCCCCCAAGTGGCCAAAGGGGCCAAGGATGCTGAGGGCCAACGGGATACACAAAGAGCTAAGAGCTTGCAGCTTTTGCTTTCCCCAGGATGGAATTCTTCTTTCTCTTGAAGATTCAGGGACAGTCATTTGTCAGCCATGGTTTAATTGATTGACTAAAAAATTAGTTAATTAAATAGATAAGGTCTCATTCTATTGTCTAGGCTGGCCTGGATCTTGCTATGTAATCCAGGCTGGCTTCAAACTCACAGCAAACCTCTTTCTCATCTCGTCAAGTGTTCGGATAAGCCACCATGCCTGGTTCCTGTAAGTTCTTCACATTTAGCAAATTAAATAGGTCATGTCATGGAAACTTTGGAGAGAAAGAGACAGAGAGAGCAAGAGAGAGATGGAAGAGTTGAAGAAGCCTTCCTCACCCTGGCAGCACTAATTCTGATATGCTGTGATTGGCACTTGGCTCTCTAACATATAGAGCGCACAGATTGTTGGCTGCACATGTTAGTTTGTCTCAGTTATTAAGTTTGCAATAATAGGATTTTGCAGTTTCTAGGTTTTAGAGCAACCTGTGGTTATTTATTTATTTTATGTAGGGGGCAGGCATGCTCTTGCCGTGGTGTGCTTGTGGAGGGCCCCCACCGGTAGCTTTACAATATAGTGTTAGCCCCTGTTCCAGGTTAGCCCATGATCTTGTATAATCCAGGCAGTGCTTTAGGCATCTGTGGATGAGGCCCTGATTGGACTCCACGGAGCACACTGTGGCCTCCCTGGGAATCCAGAGTACCCCCTTGTCTGTGGCTAGTGAATATTTCCTTTTTACTAGCTCAAAGACAACACAATACATTTTTACAGCATAAGCATGAAACCAACAGTTTGATCTGAGGGTTTTCCACCAGCAGAATTTACCAAGCTGGACATTGTGAGGCTCAAAACCATCCAAGTGCACAAGGAATACTGGCACCTATGGCTGTGAGATCCTGCTTGCTGACTGAGTTAGACCACAAGAAGTAAACTCAGCCAGTCGGAATTTAACAGAGCCCATGACTTGTTACAGGTTATAACAAATAAGATTCTGCATGTGTGGTGTGCACACTCACAGAGATGTTCAGTCACATGTGTGCACTTGCATGTGGAGGCCAGAGGACAACCTTGGGTATCACACATCTGCCCCCTTTATGACAGGGTCTCTAACTGGCATGCAGAGTTCACCAATTAAGCTAGATTGCTGGCCACCAGGCCCTAGAATCCTCCCATCTCCCCAATGATGAGATTACAAGTGGAAGCCACCACACCAGGCATTTTTATGTGGATGCTGGGGTTGAACTTGGGTCCTCATGTTTGCGAGGTAAGTGCTTTGTTGACAAAACCACCCTGCAAAGTAAGATTCTTACCCAACAAAAACAAGTGTTTGCTAGCAGAGGGAACAGTTAAGGAGGGAAAATTTGGGCAGGCTTTTTATAAGACTAAAGCAGAAGGTTCTGAAAGAACTCAGTGTGCCTCATGTTTCTTCCCCCTCTGGAGCTTTGCTGGGTCTGAAGCGGCCGTTTCCAGTCCCGGGCTTCCTAAATTCCTGGGTATCTTCTGAAAGGCTTAAGTAAACAGAACAAAATGCCTCTGGGCCTCTGGAACCAGAAGTGCAGAGTTAGAGTCTTTCAACGTCAGGAAATAGTTACGGCATTAGAATCTCTAGTGAAGAGTTGAAAACTTCTGTTCCAGGGCCACGTTTGTCAAGGTCCCAAGTCAAGTAGGACCTTGTTTCCTCCAGGTCCTGACAGCATAGAGAATAGGCGAACAGGGGAAGAAGACACAGTCGAAACCTGCCCCGGCTTTCTCACCCCAAGTCCACTTGCTCTCTTTGCCTTTCCAGTTAAGATCCTGAGAAAAAAGAAGAGGGCAGGTTCTCTACAGAAGTCCACCCTGTTGGTCCTTTGAGAGTCTGCTCTCCCTGGCCCTGCCTGCTGCTGCTGCTGCTGCTGCTGGTGGTGGTGGTAACTAAAGGGGATTACTCCTCTGTGGCTCAGGTGAGTTTACACTTAATGCCTTTGGGCTAAAGGGCACTTCAAAGCTGACAGAACAAGGGATGCACTTTAGAAAATGGAAGCCCCGTGCATGGAAGTGCCTGTCACTGTAGAAAGTAGTGGGCATTTAGAGTTCTTTCAAGAAAGGAGCCATCAAGCCAACAATACATCACCATGTCTTTTTTTTACTGCAGTGTTTCAAGCAGCCATTACAAACAGGAAAGGGTTTATTCCAGTGGCTCACAAGCAGGACAGAGATGGATGACAGGCGTTGTAAGTCAGAGAATCTCCCTGCAGCTACAGTGGGTGGGGGGAGCTGTCCAGAGTAGGAACAGAATTTTGGAGCTTTGGGGCAAGCAATGGTTACTTAAGACTGCCCAGAACAAAGACCTGGTCGGGAAGAGACACCATTGAGGATATCTGTGAGTGAGCTATGGTTGAGGGGAAAGGTCTACGGGAAGGAGGATAGGGTTGAGTCATGGACTGAGCATCTTAGCTCCTCTCTGGCCAAGCCAGAGTATTGGTTATATGCTGTGGAACTGAGAATTCTCTGACTAAAGGAGGTAGGGGCCAATTCCTGGATGCTGGGTAGGAGAGGAGGCTGGGTAGAGGCAAGATCCTGGCTGCTGGGTAGAGGAGGAGCTGGATAGAGGTAAGCTCCTAGATGCTGAGTAGAGGAAGAGGCTGGGTAGTGTCTCTGCTTACCCAACTTGATCTTCCTGCCAACTTTGGAGGAACAGGGACAAACATGAAATGCCTAGAACATAATGAAGCCCCCTCCGCACACACACTTGACAGCACTAATTCTGATATGCTGCGATTGGTACTTGGCTCCCTGACATGCAGAGCGCACAGCTTGTTGGCCGCACATGTTTTTGTTTGCCTCAATTTATTAACTTTGCAATAATAGGATTTTGCAGTTTCTAGGTTTTAGATCTAGCTGTTGCTTTTTATTTTATGGGGGGGGGCAGGCATGTTCCCACCATGGCATGTGTGTGTGTGTGTGTGTGTGTGTGTGTGTGTGTGTGTGTATGTGTGTGTGTGTAGCTTTATAATAGGATTTCCATTGTACACGTTAGTGGCTTGTAAACCAAACTCAGGAACCGAGACTCTGAGCTGACCTTCTGCCACCTTGTTACAGACTGGCAGCATGTTGGGGACACTACACAAGCTCCTGGCCTCCTCTGTAAGATCCTGTGAGTGCGGAAGAGGATGCCCCTCACCATCCTCTCATCCCACTGCAGACTCATGGCTGGAGTCACAGCAACCCATCACAGATGTCCATCTGCCTCATGATAAGGGCTGGCCAAAGTCTAACCTGTCCTATAGACAACCTTTCAGGATAGTCTACTCCTGTGATCCAGGTCACAATCCTCCTGGGTATTCTCAGCTGGCCTCAATCTGCTCTTCAGGCCCATTCCTCATGCCTCCCCTGCACCAACCTCTTCTTGGGCCAAATAATTAGTTGACTGAAGCATCAGCCCTGGGAGGAAGGTCACCCTGGGCTGGACTGGGCTGACTAGTGAAAAAAAAAAAAAAACTGGGTTACTGGGTTTTCATCAAGGACTTATAACCTCTTGGAGACTAAGGCATGAGTAAAAAGTTTAATAGCAACACAGAAACAAGGGAAATGTCTCAGCAGTAACCACTGCTTTCTAGTCAAATAGAGCTACGTGTATTTTGTGTCATAGATTCAGAGGCCAGAGAGCCCAGGAGGCTGGGGCCTCCCAAAAGCCACTGCAGAAAATAAAAGGAACAAAGATATTGTCTACCCTTTATGACTTGCTGGCCTAGGCCCGTCATGAGTACCAGGCCTGATCTTTACAATTCTGCCAAAATAAAACATCACTGCCATCAAATCCCTCATTTTCCTGGCAAGAGAACTGAAGCTCAAAATGGTTACTCAGTTTGCCTAAGATCATGCGGTTCATGGAGAGTGGAGCTGAGGTGGCTTCCCACTTAGTCTAACTCTACCATCTGCGCCCTTCCCAAGACACCCCTGCCTTTCTCCATGCGGGAGATCCAGGCCAGTGTTGCTCTCCCTAACCAGATCTGCAGAGTGTGGAGGTCTGCAGTTCTGAAGGCATATTTCCACAAGCCTCCCCTCACACCAACAACTTAGCAAGGTACTCTGTACACAGCAGGTCTGTGTAAACGTGTATCACTCTGAAGGGGGTGGGGGGGGGCTGAGAGGAGCCACAGTGACTGCTCATCACCAGTGGCCTCCTACACCTGTCCATGCTTTCTCCTCCTGACTGCAGACCTTCACCCAAGCTCCTAGTGCTCTTGGAGAGCAACCCTTGGCAGCAGGGAGCCCATTTGTCTCCCAAATCCCAAGGACATATGGCACAGCCAGGAGGATTCTATTGCAAAGGCCATGAAGGCCACATGACTGTTTTTTTGATCATACAGAGGAAGGGAGGCAGCCAGGGTGGCCTCAAGGGCTGCGAGTCTGGGACACAGTTCCATTTGGCCTTGGCTTCTCCCCTTAAATACTGGTGTTACTGCTGCCAAATTTGTACCTCCACTTAAAGCTAATGTGACCGAAAAGCAATGGGATATTGAAGTTCTTCTACATGACTGACACATCTGGCTTGTTCGCCTTCAAGAACGTTGAAGACTTGGGGCTGACCCAGGTATCATCTCCCCACTACCCCACATCTGGGCAAGAAGTGCTGTCGTTTCAAAGGCAAAGATCTCTCTTTTTGAACTAAAGGGCATGAGAGCAAATCAAGATGGCTGGCAGGCCAGAACAGCCACCACAATTCGCTAAATGCATGGTTCCCTTAGGCAGAGATTAGGGCTGGTTAATACTAACAAAATCCTTCCAAGATATTTCAGGAGCAGGATTCCAATGTTTGAAGAGGTTAAGTGACTCACCCCTCACTACGGTAGGCCAAGCACCTCTCCAGTGGGACCCTTAACACCTGATCGCTCAATCCCACGAAGAGTGCACGAGCACTGTGCAGGATGCGCAGGCTCCGAAGAGGTTCAAGGCGCCCAGGGGGCAGCACATGCAGCTCCTCCAAGTAGCATCCCCGCAGGTTGCGGCTGGCAGTGGACAGCGCTTTCAGGATGGTGCCTGACTCTAGCGAGTGGGGTCAGAGGAAAGTGGCCTTGAAGTGTTAGCAGCCTGCAGCCGATTCCCCACCCAGCAACAACCACTTCCCCAAATGCAGCGCAGATGGGCCCCGGCCGGCTCACCCGTGCCTATGTAGAGGACATGGTAGAGCGTGTCCTTAGCTTGCACAAGGTCCACAACGAGATGTGAGAAGCGGACGCTGTCCTGGGTGACACAGGGCTCTGGTGTCACTGGCTGCACAGCTTCGCTCATCAGGAAGAGCCGCTGTGCATCTTGTAGGCTGCGCTCGGTGAGGTTCTCGTTGGGGCCAGTCTCAGGCAGGGTGCCGCACTGCCACAAGGAACCCAGTCACTGGAGCCCCGTCCTCACATTCAGGGACTGCCATGGCCTCCTTCCCACCCATGGAGACCTTGGATAGACACTAATTCTCCAACACCCTTGGTCCCCAGTATTCTTTCTGGGCCCTTGAATCTTTTTCAGGGAAAGATGGATCTTCTTTAGAACCAGGAGAAACTGAGGCTGGGAAGATGGAGGAGGAGAGACTGGAAGGGTTGGGGAAGAGGATGGGAGGGGCAAGGGGTCTGTCTAGACAAATCATTTGAATGTGAATGGTGCCCTGTGATTTTAAGCAGCTTCATAGGCGCCTGCTCCCCCAGTGTGCCAAGTTGTTTTCTCCAATCCTCACAGGCTCCAAGTTCGTGTTTCTAGTTTAAAAGCGGAAGTCTACCACCTTTTATTGTGCATCACAACAGCCTTTGCACAGACCCAGAAGGGATGACCTCATATAGTCCTGTCCCTCATTCCAGCAAAGGGATAGGAGACTCCAGGGAGTTGGGTGACCTGCCCAGTGTCACTGGACTGAATCTGCCTCAGAACTACTCAACTGAAAAGCCTAATTCTTTCCCAAGGCCATATCACCCCTGGAACAGGCATGAAAGTCCATCATCTAGGCTGGGCATGGGGGCACACACCTTCAATCCTAGAATACAAGTGGCAGTGGCAAGAGGACTCTGAGTTCAGAGTTCAGCCTTTGCTACAAAGTGAATTTCAGGCCAGCCGAAGCAACACAGTGAGACCTTCCTCAAAACAAACAAATAAAAAATAAAGTCTGCCATCAATCTCCTTATGCTTTCTCATCACAGGATGGTGATGCATGTATCAACCACAATAGCCCTAACTGCTGCCTGTATTCAGAGATCCTATGGGCACAACACCTACTGTAAATGATCTCCAGATAAAACTCCCAAAGTCTGGGTGTTTTACCCGTGTAGTGCCCTCCTAGTCTCTTCTACTTTGTAGAGTTGAAGCCCCTGTCTTTCTGGAATGTGGGTAGCTCTGCCTCTCTTTTATCTCCTTAATAGCAGTTGGAGGAGTTACCACCCTCTTGGCGACCCATCACAGACACCAAAGACAAGCCTAGAGCAACAGGGACAGGCTGGTGTTAGCCTGTGCTGAGTAAGCAGAGAGTCACCTTGTAGCTCGTGAGAGACAAAGGAAGAGAAGCTGTACCTGGAAATTGGGGATGGGGTTGGCAATAGGGAGCCAGGCAGCCCTGGGGTTCTCCTGGTAACGAAATGGGCCATTGAAAGCCCGGGAGATGGCACTGAGGTTGAAGGCGCAGACGGCAGAAGCGGCGATGCTGTTTCTAAAAGGCAAGAGGTGGAATGTGGTCCTTTCTCTGGGATTTGGCTTTCCTTGTGGGCCAAGCATCCTCCTCTGAGGCTCCTCGGAGTCCACCATCATTCCTAATCCCCCTGGGTTAGAAAGTCTGGTGCCTTTTGCACAATGAAGGGTATGTGGTCTTCACAACCCCCCCCCCCGTTACCACAGGAGGATTCCATCGGTAAGAAGCAAAGGGCATCCCCTGTGCCACTTCCTCATCCCCTTCCCTTATTCAGTGAAGGGTGGAACACAATCAATAGCTCACATTAAGAAATACATTTGGTATTACATCTATACTGGAGTCTCATGACACACTATCCAAGCTAAATATGTTATACTTTGACATTTGATTCCAATCTATTCTGCTGTTTGCATATATGTATTAAATGGATGGGTAGCAAATCACTGGTTTATGCTGCAGCCCGCAACTCCTCAGAACCAGATAATTTTTACAACCCTTCTGGGCCCAGAATGGTAGGTCTCTATGAATGTGACGTGAACAGCTCACAGAGATGACATTGTCACACCCACTTGTCCAGTTCTAGTCTCTGTACTGGTTTCTCTCCCAGATGTGTCCATTATCCTCTCCCTCTGCCTGGTCCTAGACTCCCCTGTGCCCTGGGTCTTAATCTGTCCTTCTGCTGATCTCCCCACAGCCTGGATGGGCTCCTAAGCCGTTCTGCACGAAAGTCCTCATATTCACACCTAGCTGCTCACTAGGCTGTTTCAAATCCCTCAGTAATGTCTCCTTGTCCACAGGGTAAAGATCAAAACCCTGAGAGCAGTCTGTGAGGTCCTTAGGACAACCCCCACCCTGCCTCAGCATTACTCTTTAGTTTCCCTCCGACCTCCCTTTTATGCCTTCAATGCTCCCGTCATACTGGTTTCTTCTCAGTGCATGAACCTTTTCTTTGTCTTCCACCCAGAGCTTTGCACAATTCATTGCATGGGGGCTGGAATGCCCTGCTGATCCCAGGATCTTCACTTCCCATAGGAAGCTGTGATCTCCACCTTGCACCCTGCTTTCTCCCTTCGTAGGAGTTACCAAGGTTAAAATGAGTTGCTCAAAATAGCCTCATCCACATTGGAATGTCACCCCCCTTGACGGCATTGCCATGGCTGCTTTTGCGCCCTGCTGTCCACCCCCACTCCAGGACAAACACCTGGCATGGAGGGGTTACACAATAAGCTGTTAATAGTCTACACTGTTTTGTCATGTTTCCTTGATGTCTCTCCAGCTCTTTTCGCCCTGTGCTCACAGTCACCCACCCCTCCACACTGAGAGCTAGCCACACTTAGTCATGGTCAGCAGGCTTTCAGCTCATGGCTTGTGTGAGCTGTGCTCAATCTCTGTCCCCTGGTCAGGATGGCCTCCCTGCTACTGCTTGCCAGTTTTACCCACATCCTTGCCTGTCCCCACAGACTGTCATTTCTGTAGACAACTTGGGGCATCCAGTGTTTGCTACTCTGTGGCTCACAAAGCTCATGATGCCCTTACAAAACACCCAGCACAGCATTCCCTGCTGCAAAGACCTCTGTCAGTCTCAATGGTACCCATTCATCACTCTTATCCTGATTTCTTAACCTGCACATGGAGGACCAGTACAGGCAAGTAGGGCATCGCTGGGAAAGTTGCTTTTCCTTACACCTAAGGAAACACCAGAGGTGCCAAATGGCAGCCTGCAGGTTCTGGTGTAGACAAAAGGGAGGCGGCTGCAGGATTCTTAGAATGCTGCCACGCTTAGGTTAGAAGGGACCAGAGAGAATAGCTGCCTGGGGATGCCACCCATTCACCCCATGTAGGCTCACACACTCTCCCTTTATGAGCTATCAGGCAGCTTCCCTCCCTTTCTGCACATCTGGCCGGGGTCTACCCTTTCCAGCAACTCAAAGCAGATGCTTACCACTCCAGAGGTGATAAGCTGCAAACAACCAGCTGTAGAGGAGCAAGGAGATCTCTGCTATATGGATGAAGACACCAGACTCTGAGAAAGGGTCTGCTGAGCCCACTAGGCTGCCAGGATAGGCAGGGCAAGCCCTGGAATGAAGGGAAGATGGGCAGCAGAGAGTGGGGGGACTCACACGTTGGTGGTGAAGACGCCGTAGATGAGGTCCTGCTCCGGCAGGTGGAAGGCACTCTGCAGCTCGTTGTAGTAGAAGGGGACCTCTCCTGGGCGGGAACAATTGAGCCTCGCCTTCATGAATGTGGTCCATGTATCCTCCAGCAGGAAACGGCCCCCCACATCATTCTTGCACACTCGAGCCACCCGAGAGTACACAGTGCGCCCACAATCGTGTTCCACTGCATTCTCCCGAAGGAAGAAATATGCAAACAGCCCAATGTCAAAGGATGCCACAAAATTTGGCTCTGTGAGGATGGAATGAAGAAGACAGAGTAGGAAGAACTCCACTGTTTCAGTGTTCTTGGGTAAGCATCTTGAATCCCTCCTTGCTGACCCGGGGCTCTAAGTAAGCCTATTCCTGCTTCTACCTTTGAGTGAAGCTTTCATATTTGTTAAATAGTGCTATTGTTATTAGTGTTACTTCACTGGATGAAATACTCTATCATAAGAACTTTATTGATTCCTCTATTTAATCCTCACTACAATTTATAAGGCAAGCCCTAGGACTACAGATGAGAACACCACAGTCGAGAGCAGCTTGGTCCTTGCTCAACGCCATATAGCGAGTTAGTAAAGAACTGTATTCAACCCCGATGGATAGGAAGCTCATACTATCCTCATTTCCTTCCTAATTTCTCTCTTCCCTAAACCACTACTCTGTTCAATTTCTAACCCTCTCCCCCAACAGCCTGCCCTCTGTCTGTTCTGGGTCCTTGGGACATCTGGGGCTCAGGTCCGGTGTGCCTTGGTCTTTGGGCAATGGGGTTTTGAAAGCAGACAGCCCTGCCCCAGGCCCGGGTCACCTTACCATTGAGCCATTTGGAGTTATACTGGGCAGTACGAAGAGGTGGCCCGCTGCCCAGGCTGCGGTAGATGGCTGGGTCCCGACCTGAGAAGTCGATGACAGTGGCAGCATAGAGCTCCCCCTGGGAGGAGATGACGGCTGTGGAGTTGTGCCGTGGGTCATAGGGGCAGCGGGCCACACCATTGATCTTCTCAATAGTCCGGCTGAGGTTCTCCACCTGGAGACAGAGGGGGAAGAGAGCTTTCCCAAGGGGTCCTGGCACCCTCTGTTGGTTCCACCTCAGAGTTGTCTCCTCTGGGATCCTTGATTTCTGTACCCCAAACCCCTGTCTCAAGTACCCTGCCATCCTGTGATCTCATAGTCATGACAAAGGGCAAGGTCCTTCATGAGTGCCCACTGGACACCAGACGGACGTTTCAAGTAAGACTGACAAAGAAAATACTAAAGAGAGGTTCAGTTTGAATCTCAGATGGAGAATAAATTTTATGTGTGTCCTAGTATTTCATGGACATGCATTCCCCACCCACCCCAGTACATTTGCCAGTCCTTTCTCCAAGACTGTGTGCCTGGTTAAAACACCATCCCCTGACACCCCTCTTCGCCTGCCCCTCCCAATGGCCCACCTGTCTGCTGGAGCACACTGGGGAAAAGGCATTGGTGCCGCACATGAACACCTTCTGGCCGGAAACGATCAGGACTCTCACATAGTTCTGACACTCCTCCTGAGGTGGGAAGGAAAACGATAGAGGGCCAGAGCTCTGCATGTGTGGTTCCAGGCATCACCGATGCCAGCGAATGTCCTACAACACCCCTGCCGTGGAACGTTCTGCTCTGGGGTCCAGCTTGTGTCTGTGGGAATCCATTGTCTCCCTTCACCCTCACCCAGCCAGGCTTCTGGGGCAAGCAACCTCATGCTCACAAGGACCCCTACTATCTGATCAGAAGCTTCCAGCAAAGCCCGTTTCCTCCCGCACGTACCTCAGTCTTCCCTTTGCTCTGGCAGGAGCGGCGTGTGTCTTCACTGGAGGCCCACTCCGTAGCCTGTGGCAAGGAACAGGGACATTACCTGGTATACTCCCTGACAATGCTCACCGCAGGGCGTGGGGAAGACAGGAAGCTGGAAAGGTTAGGGCTTTCTCCCCCAGCATCTGAGGTGTTTGGGGGGCCTGTCAGAGATTCTTACCCAGAGGTCTTCAGAGAGTGGTTCCTCAACCTAACACCTTCTCTGCTTGCCTGGGATGGGGACAGCTAAGGGACCTGCTTGCAACCTTCGTGGGCTTCATTAGTCCCACACAGCTTTCTGGGAACTTCCCCCCAGGGCAGCTATGAAACTGTAAGTGGCCAAGAAGGGTTTTCAGGTCTTGGTGGGGGACAGAAAATGTGTCTTCCAGAAGCCCCTCAAAGGAGTGGGAGGCTAAACTGGGTCTCTTTCCAAAGGTTAGACTTTGAAAAATCTTAGAAATAGGAGTTATGATTTCCTCACTAAAACCATGTAAAACATGATTTTTCTCCCTCAGTCTCTGTAGACACTGAGGTCCTTGGTGACAATTTAAGGTGTGGTGGTAGGCCATAGGTAGGATTCTTCATAGGCTGTGTGTTTGTGCCCTTTACCCCACTGTCTCCAGGGATGTCGACTTCCTCTTGCCTCAGTTGCTGCTCTCATGGCGTCTGTCATTCCCTTCTTGTATTTGTTTTTTTAAACACAGCTGAGGAGGACCTCAAACCTCAGATTCCCCAGCCTCTGACTTCTGAGTTCTGGGGTCCCAAACATCCCCATGAGTCCCACATTATAGAGTTCTGGGGACCAAATTCAAGCTTTTGTTTACTTCCCTTCTTCATGCCCTGGGCAAAGGGTCTGGGGACACAGCTTTCTCATGCTCAGAGCAGCAGGAGAGAGCTCTCTCCATCCAGGGTCTCCCCCAACATTTATTCCCTCCCCATCTCTGAAGGAGATGGGCGATACTTCTCACACAGGCAACTGTCAACATCACTGATGTATAAACATGAGCCACACAACCTGTCCTAGAAGGCCTGAGTAAGCAGATCTCTCTCTCTCTCTCTCTCTCTCTCTCTCTCTCTCTCTCTCTCTCTCTCTCACACACACACACACACACACACACACACACACACATACACTCCTCTCTAATTCTTCACACAGCTGCTTTGCTAGACCCTGGGAAGCAGGGGACAAGGAGGGAGCCACAGGCTGCTTCTTGCTTTCCAGACTGGACATATACCTCTACGGAAGCATGGCTGCTTACAGCAGAGAGAAGCTGATCCCTGTAAGAACCTGCACCCAGGAGCTGGTCTCCACTAAGCATGCTGGGTCTACCCATCCAGGCCTGTTTCTCCTCAACTTTAAAGAATGGCAGATGACCTTTAGGGTCTGGGAACATCTGGATGGAAATGACTAAGCATTGTTACTCTCAGGACCCATCAGGTCCCAGGTTGCGTCTCACAATATAGAGGAAGATATATAAGAATTCTTGGGGTTTCTGAGGGCAAGAAGGGTCAATGATTCCCCACCACCACCACTGAAACACGGACAACAGGTGGTTGATAGTGAACTGCACAGAGCCTTGGGGTTTCTGCATGGGGCACATTGAAGGGGTCAGTCTGTTGTTAAGGGGGAAGTTAAGGTTGTACAGAACTCAGCAACAGCACAGAAGCATGCCAGGGACTTTCTCATTCTCCCTTTGATCTTTGGTGTAATAGGGAGAAAACCAAAGGCAATGGGGTTGAACAAGCTGGTCAAGGTCACAAAGCTAGTAAGAAACAAGATGCAAAGCAGACTACCAGCACCCAGGAGCCTTCTGTCGCAGTAAACAGATGCCATGAACCAAAAGTTAGACCATATGGCCCCAAAAGAACATGCATGTTTATACCAGTAAAACCACAGAAAGGGCTTTCCAGAGTCATTTTTATTTGAAAATTATTTTTATCAAAGTAAGGAGGCTCAGTTTTAAAATCATAAAACATTTATTAACAATCTCCCCTACACAGTAACCTACTCCCTCCATGCTACAGTGGCTTTACCTTATAGCAACCTCTTCCTAGTTGTAGCTGTTAGAAACCTACACCCCCAAGGCTGGAGAGAATGCTCATCAGGTAAAAGCATTTGCTGCTCTTGCAGAGGATGGGGTTTGGGTCCCAGCATCCACATTGGGTGGCTCACATTCACCTGTAAATGCAGCTCCAGGGAATCTGATTGGTACCCTGTTTTGGCCTCCCTGAGCACTGGTACACATACTCTCTCTCTCTCTCTCTCTCTCTCACACACACACACACGCACACACACAGCTCTCACACAGACAGACAGACAGACAGACACACACACACACCAAAAACAAAAACCCAAAACCTAAAAGTCCCAAATATGTAAATCCATCTCACACTCAACTTTAGATAGGAAGAGACTTTCCCACTGTCTGTCTCCATTTTACCCCAGCCCAGAGCACACTCATATGCCTTCTAATCCGTCCTTCCTCAACAATTCATATTTTAATTAAGATCCAACAGTGGTATTCACATTATTGTAAATACTAAACTCTTCCCTCCAAAGTTACCTGACTGTGAGCCATTGCTTTGTGACACAAACCACGGTGAAGGGAAATGTGCTACCAGTCCACACTTTTTATCACCTGAATTTTTAATGTAAACTTATTGGAAGCACTCTTATTGAGATGTGTTTCCATCACATATTGATCTTACACACTAAAAAAAAAGAAGCAAATGTCAGTGAATCTAAGTGACTTTAACCTTCTTATATTCCATGCACACCTCTTCTGAATTCCTTTCTACTTGGAGCTGTCACTATTCATTTTGTTGCTTTTCTTTTATATAGAACATCATTTGTTGAACTACCCAGGTGTCAGCAAGGCAGGAATTCTCGGAGCGGTTCATTCTGGTCTGCAGGACTTTCTTCCGAGCCACTGATTCCTGTTATTCAAGTTGGGATGCAATTCTCTCTCAATCTTACCAGCGGTGTCCACAGGTCTCTGACCAATCCAGATTCACCTGTCTTTCTTGAATGAGCTTATAATGACTATTGTGTTGTCCAGTCAGATGACATGGATAATGACCACCTGCTCAGGCTACAACTGCATCAGAACCAAAAGTCTGGCCAACAGTGGCAGCAAGATGCTGTGCTTTGTGAGACACGCCTGATTGCAGACTCATTGTGAAAATGGTTATCTGAAAGTCAATCAAATACTCATATTCAGAGGCAGCTTCCTTTCTCAAACAACCTTCTTCATTGATTTTTCTTAAATGTTCCAAAGGAAATGCCTTTCTGTACAATTTTGATTTTGGTTTTTTTGAGACAGGGTTTCTTTGTATAACAGCTCTGACTATCCTGGAACTTGCTTTGTAGACCAGGCTGGGCTCAACCTCACAGAGATCCTCCTGTCTCTGCCTCCTGAGTGCTGGGATTAAAGGTGTGTGCCACCACTGTCCAGCTTCCATATAATTTCTGTTTGCACAAGTGATTCTGATAATCTATTGGTTTCCTTCCTCATCCTCATATCCCAATCTCTCAGTGACCCTGCTGCTTCTGAGGCCTCCTGCTGGCTAAAACCAGGGCCTTGCCTCTCTTCTGCTTCAGGGAGCCATGTCACCCTGGTCCTTGATTGGTGGCATACAACTCCAGCATTGTGGATCAATTTTCAAAGTTCACTTGTGTCTGTTCGATTCTTTCTTTATACGGATTGCTTTCATACAGAATTCTAGGTTGACTATAACCTGCACCCAGTTTTTTAATCATTTATCAATTGTCTTCTCTAATCCAGGTTCACCCAAAGAAATCTGATGGAATCTTTCAGAAGAACCCCGTCGTGTTTTCTTAAGACTCTGGAAGCTTTATTCTCTTACCCCATTGAAACAGGGCTTTTAATTTGATGTAAGCTTGGGTCACTTTTGAGAACTTCATTAACTTTTGACTTAAAGCCTCGGCCTTGGTCTTAGCAAATTTTCTTACATTATTTTGCCCTTTTTCCCTCGCCCTTTCTTTTCTTTATTTTGGAAAGTGTATTAGTTGAACCCCTGGTTGAGCTGTATGCCTTGATACACTCCCTAGTTTTCTGACATTCCCTATTTCTCACTTCTGATCCTGTTATTCTAATTTTGGCAGACTTTTCTTCAACTTTCATCTTTGAATCCTTGGATTCTTATTTTCCTCGTTGCAATGTTAGCTGTCATATTTTCAACTTACTGCTTTATAAAAATAGTTTTTATGTGTAAGGAGATACAAATTAGTTTGTAATTGAATTTAAAACGTTTTCTGTTTCTTGTACATTCTCTGCTGCTTGCAGCTTGTGTCATCTCGTTCTTATTTTGATCTTCCCTTTTACTTTAAGGCTTTCTTTGAGTTGGTGGTTTTTGGCTATTTGTGCACATTTATTAAAAGCCACAAGACATTGTCCATTGAAAAGAACAAAAGCTTCTTGAAGAAATGGCTGGTTCCATCCAGGGTAGTAAACACACAAGGTGAGCCTAGAACATTTTATCATTCCATAATGCTAGGATGCCGTACTAACTAGATAGAATTAAACAGAGAGGACCTGGAAGCTGACTTGAAGAGGCCTCCTACTGTGACAGATGAGGTAGCTATGAAAGATAACAACAGCCATGAACTGAAACACATCAACAAGTATAAATTTGTGACCCTGAAATAATAATAAATGAAAGAGTCTTGTGATCAGCTCACTGGGTAGAGGGCTTGCTTAGCATCCACGAAGCCCTGGCTTTGATCCCTGCCTACCATAGCAATGCATCAAACCAACATGGAGGTTCATAGTTTTATTATAGCACTTGGGAGAGGAGGCATGAGCACCAGCACTTCACCATCATCCTTGGCTACATAATGAGTTTGAGGCCAGTCTGGAATACACAAGACCCTGTCTCAAAAGATGGATGGATGGATGGATGGATGGATAACCTACTATTGAAAGGTACTAGGGAGCCAGCTCTTCATCTGAAAGCTAGGACACACAACAGCAGAATACTGAAAAGAGTCCTGCAACTATGTGTCAAGTTGGCATTGG